TACACTTCTATTCCAGTTGCGTGCTTTTAGCTTAATTGTCTACATTCAGTCACCATTTTTTTTTCTGTCATCTACTAACCTATTTGGACTCAAACATGAAATAGAAATAGAAAAGGAAAAGAGATGAAACAACCAAATCATATTCTAGCAATCACTATCAACAGACTTTCTATTTGTTTTGATGATGGTGATTTTGTCTCTTTGAATTTACATTTTGACTATGAATTGCAGAATACAATTTTGAATTTACCTTGGTGGCCTCGGGAACCCCTTGCACTGTGATCAAGGTTGACCTTTTACACAATCTACTGGTGGAACTCATGACGACGACGACTATGAATTGCAACTTGGCAATTATGATAATAGTGTAACAAGTGAAGGATATAGTGATTTAGATTGATGTTTTTGGTGAGCTTTTAGAGTAATAATGTTATGAATGTTATGTTTATTAGCACTGGGTATGCTTTTATTATAATATTATATCTGATATTAATTTTGTTCTAACTCTTATCATTTCATTTTATAGATGACAACTCCTGGGCAGCGAGGAAAGAGGGTGAAGAGAGTTAAGAGGTTGAGGGATCGCACCCCCCCTCCTCCAGGTGATGCACATGCATCACCACCACACCACCACCACCACCACCACCCCCACAGCCACCACCTGAAGAACCAGCATCTAGTAGCGCAGGTTATCTATTTTCTCTTTTTATTTATAATTTGGTTATTCTTACATTTTGAACCAATTCATAATAATGTTACATTTGTTTTTGGCTATACAGAGAGTTCCTATGACTTCTCTGGAAAAAAGCATAAGCGTGGTAAGTCATGTGGGAAAGGCCTCCATGATATTTTGGAGGCCAATGATGGAAAGAAAATGCCAGTTATCTTTGACTTGAAACACCAAGTCCCCAGTGATGATAAAGTGGGAGCTTTATTCAGTTCCGAAATAGGGAACATTGTTCGGACTAGTGCACCAGTATGCCACTTGGGATGGAAGAAGGTTTCAACTGATGATAAGGGGAAAATGCGGGACTCATTGACAGTGAGTTGAATATTCAACTAATATTTCTGTATTGGCAATGCAACTAATATTCCATTGTCAAACTTGGTTATTCCTTGTTCAAAAATGATAAAGAAAACTGAAAATCTAATTATACTTCTACAAGATAATTCTAAATAAAAATTCCATTATAGTGGTATTTTCTTATAAGGAAAACTGAAAACTGTTACTGTTGCACTTGTTTCTAAATGAAACACAATGCTGCATTCGAAATTAAACTAGAATATTCTTCCCTTCAATTGTTCTGCTCCATTATGTTGAGATACATATGAAAAACAGCTCGAAAACTAATGCATGGGATCAATCAAGTAATTTTAGTAATTATTGCTATGAGTTTCAAAGAAATGATTGCTTGGGAAATTCGAGATATCATACTTTTACAGAGATATAAAAAGGTTTCTACACTAATTTTTATGCATGTTTGATATAGGTATTGTTTGAGGTGGACTTATCACATCCGACCAGCACCAGCTCAGCACCAGCTCATGTCCAGACCAGCACCAGCTCTAGAGGTAGTAATGGTGTCCATTCTGATGATGACTATTATGATGAACTAGCAAACCAGAATCTTGATGAGAACTGATTTAGGGATTATATCCATATGGAACATACACTTGCTCTCTAGACTTACTTTTGGTTGTACAAAGTCTAGACTTAGTTTGGGATCTTTATTTTGGAACATACAATGTAATTACCTACTTTTATTAATGGAAATGCGATTATCTATTTTTATATTATACATTGAAAAAGATGAGAACAGAGAATTGTGATTGGATTTGCACATATTATTCATAATTAGGTACCTTGGTATGGAACATGTGTGATACAGACCTCATCACAATCTGAAGAAATATGTGAGGCCAACATCGTCACAGATAAAAAGACATTTTATGTATACATCGTCACATACTACAAAATTATGTGACGTGTGCATCGTCACACATTAAAAAAAATATGTGATGCGTGCATCATCACACATTACATAAATATGTGATGCCTAAAGGGTCATGTATTATATAGGAAGGAGCATTTTATACCCAGTTTAGGAGAGGAATTACTTCTCACAGATGCCGCTAAACCGTGACCCAAATCACGCATCACTAATAGCTATAGGAAGTGACAAACGGACGGCCACATAATCAAACGTATAGTGACGCGGTATGTGTCACAGATATAGGGTATATGTGACGAAGGAAGAAAGCGTCACGTGGGAGAATCGGTGACGGGGTATATGTGACGAAAGCTGTGACGCTAAAATTGCGTCACATATACTCAATTGTGACGAAATTCCATGTTTCAGTGACGACTACCCCTCCTCACAAAAGGCATGTTTTCTTGTAGTGTATGAATTCTTACCAAATGGCTCATTACAAAACTTTTTATCATCAGCAGATAATAAAAATTCTTTCCTTGGTTGGGATAAGTTGCAAGATATTGCTTTAGGTATAGCCAAAGGAATTGAGTATCTTCACCAAGGGTGTGACCACCGAATCCTCCATTTTGACATCAAACCCCATAACATTTCGCTAGACCAGAATTTCACTCCGAAAGTTTCCGATTTTGGTCTAGCCAAGTTATGCGCAAGGGATCAAAGCGCAATATCCATGACAACCATCAGGGGGACCATGGGCTACATTGCACCCGAAGTGTTCTCTAGGAACTTCGGTAGCGTGTCCTACAAGTCAGATGTCTATAGTTTCGGGACGTTGTTGCTGGAAATGGTTGGTGGCAGAAAAAACTTTAAGGTCATGGAGGACTCTACCAGCCAAGTCTACTTCCCGGAATCGATTTATAACCTTTTAGAACAAGGGGACGACCTAAGGATCCATATTGAGGATGAAGGAGATGCTAAAATTGCAAAGAAACTTGCCATTGTGGGTTTATGGTGCGTCCAATGGCACCCAATAGATCGTCCTCCAATGAAAGTTGTAGTTCAAATGTTAGAAAGAGAAGGTGACAATCTAACCATACCACCCAATCCTTTCTGCTCTACTTCGAATTGAATTAATACAACTACACTGTCTGCAAGGCATCTGGACATTTGCGTACATCAAGAGTTCTACCAGTCACCATGATTTGATATGAGATCATGCACTGTAATATTAAATAACATATGGTGTTGAATATCGTAGTATATGCTAAGTGTTTGGGTTTGAATTTGTCACGAGTTAAATTGTAGTATATGCTAAGTGTTTGAATTTGAAATTCTAAACAAATATCAATCCAGATTTCATAGATTTTGGAGATTTCCCAGGGAGTTTCCTGAGAGATTTCAAGCCTTCTTGAAGCCACTCAGATTCTAGATTACATTGTAGATCGTTTGGCAAACCACGCGTTAGTAAGATTTCCGGTTAATGTATCATTTCCCAACTATGATTCCTTAAGTTTTGCTGCAATATCATTCGGTTAGAACAATTACTTTACATTTTCCTCAACCACAATTCATTCAATTACTTTACATTTTCCATAACAATGTCACTATTTGCTCTATATTAATTAGTGATTCGAGCTGGTTTTCTATACTATTTTTAGTTCATCTTATTATTTTAAAATCGAAGACTTTAAATTGTTGAAGTCATTTATTCATCGAAGGCATAGCGACGAACTTATATTGAGCCAATTCCCCACTCAATTCACAATTCCTAACATACGTACCAATTTCCAACAAATTTTGCTTCATAATGGTAGTTGAAATTCAAAGATTTCATTAATACTAAAAAAATTCTTGAAAGTTTCACTGATTTTGAAGTAGAGAGAAGATAGATAAGAATCATCAGATGGAGACATGTGAGATTTGAACTGAATTTTTTAAGAGATATCTGATTGTGATAGCAAACTTTGAGCTGATCCAAGGTCAAGAAATTCTAACCTGCAGGAAGCATGTTTGGCTAATGTTTATTGGCTGATTTAGAATGATGACAACATCATTATTTTGATAATGTATATTATTTGAAGTACCATTGCAATGTTGAGAATAAATTTAGTCCAGCCAACCATTACATTATATGAATAAACACAACTGTACCGAATAACCTAAATATTAATAATGAGTTCACGAAATTAGTTCATAATTACCAGTTTAGTTCGCTTGTTATAATCTTGACTTGACCATTGACTCAAAAAAAAAAAAAATCTTGACTTGACCGAATTATTATCTAATTCCTTTCACTAGGTTAAAATGTTTATTTTGGTTTGTCAAAGTTAGAAAAGAGAAGGGGAATTTTCTTAAGCACATCGAGTCAAATTTGGCTCGAAGTTGCTGTAACCACTACTACATTTTACTATTTGCGCGGCGAAGAATTTTTGGTCACGCAAAGTACATTTGAGTCGCACAAATAGTAGTGCGACAAAAGCTTCGTCGCGCAAAATCTGTCGCGCAAAGATCGTCAAGAATGACTTTGCGCGACAAACTTATTGCATTAGTCGCGCAAAATGGAGCGACGGTTAACCTTCGTTGCACCAAAAGTCTCAGGACGGCGAGATTTTTCGTCGCGCAAATGTTTGCGCGACGAAAATACAGTCGTTGCAATAACACAGCGCGAGGATTGATCTTCGTCGCGCAGACATAGCGGGACGAGGGAATATTCGTGACTCAAATATTTGCGCGACGAAAGTACAGTCGTTGCAAGAACACAGCGCGAGGATTTATCTTCGTCGCGCAAACATAGCAGGACGAGAGAATATTCGTGACTCAAATATTTGTCGCACTTACTTAGCGAGACAAAAAATTTCGTCACGCAAAAATAGAATAAATTGTTTAAAATTTATTTTTACGGTTTTGTATTTTCTAAAAAGGAAATTTGCACGACGAAAAAATATCGTCGTGCAAAAATAAATATATTATAATTTAATTTAATTTAATTTAATTTTTTTGGTAATAAAAAATAAATTTCATTTATTTTATTTTATAATAAAATGAAATTGCAATAAAAAAATGTAATGAAGAGAAATATTTTTGTTATAACAGAATATATTTAGTACAATAGAAATATTTAAAATGTAATTAAGAAAGTTAAAATCTAATCAAACAACCCTCCAAAATCTACATTTTCGTCTGGCAAATGCGGCGCGAAGGTTTGGACATTGTCGACATGGGGAGAGGTGTGGTGGCCATGCTCGGGTTGGCGGGGCTCGGAGGTCGACGAGGGAGGAAAAGGCGGGATTGGAATGCCGGACTGAGCGAGGGACTATAGAAGATGTGACAAATGACCCTTGAGCTCGGCCACCTCTGTTGTCAAAGCAGTCACCTGACTGTTTGACTGCGATGATTCACGGGGTTTAGGTGGCCGCCTGGCATTCCCCATCCCTCGACAATATGTCCCTGGGCGCCTCCCGAGAGTCTGATCCAAAGTTTCAGTCAGGATTTGAAACCCTGCATCCTGTGGAAGAGCCACAGACTCGAGTGGCGTATCAGGAGGAAGCTGGGAGGCGGACTCCTAAAGAACCAACTGGCTCTTCTCAATCATCGTCGTCTGTTGAACATAACATAAAATATTAATTAAAACATTCATATAATAACCATAAAACTTGAACGCGTAGGATAATAATTTAAATTAAAGGCTACTTACATGAAGGGACTCCGCCAACTCATTCCCAGGTCGAACATAAACGTCGCCAAAGCCGTCAATCTCTGGGAATTTGGACCCCCCCCCTCCCCCCTTAAATTGAACAAGAGAAGAAAAACGTTAGTACGAAAAAAACAAATTAATATTAATGACATATTAAAAAATAAATAAAAACGACTTTATTATTACCCGGCGCCGCGCCTCTATCCTATAGGAGAAGGGCTTGGAACCTGAATGGTGGAGAAGAGCCTTCATCTGCCTATTGCCCTTATTTGCTTTGGCCTTCTTCTGTTATAAAAATAAATAAAACGTATTAGTTGAAAGTCAAATGAAATATAAAAAATTAAATACACATTAGTAAGAAACGTGTAATAAGTTTCAACTTAATATAAAAAAATACCACATAATCGGCCTTTTGAAAATGACCGCAAAGCCACTGCCAACTATCCTCCCGGCCCTCAAGCTCCTTCGGGCAACCCTCTTGAAGAGCAACCTGCGGATCATCATATGCCTGAAAATGGTGGTGCAGGTCGCTCTTCCACTGCTTGTACCTCTCAGCAAAGAGTCTGTTGACGTATGCCAACAACTCGTCGTCGACGTTCTCTAAATTGTAGTTTGTCTACAATAAATGTTGGCGAGTAGAATATATCCTATTCTATTTGGGTTTTATTTATTTTTCCTTTTGTATAGATATTATGTAATTAGGATTCCACTTATTTCCTAATTAAACCCTACTAGGGTTTGTAACCTGTATTATAAATACCTCCTTTCGGAGAATGAAACATATATGAAAATATTATACCCATATTGTTTGACTTGGTATCAGAGCCTAGTTTCTGGTGACCTGTGTGTGTTGTGCCCACCCGTGTTGTACTGTGTGCCCTAATTTCTTTTAGGGTTACTGTGTTTGTGCCTTGTGCTCTGTCGTGTTCGTGCCTTTACTGCGTGCCTCTACTGTGTTCGTGCATCTACCTCTACTGTGTTTGTGCCTCTGTTGTCTTCGTGCATCT